GGTTGGACGGTGGGGGGTGGGGTGTGGGGGTGAAGAAGGGTGAGTGAGGGTGCAGGGAACTTGCGGCCGGAGGCCTGGGTATGATAAACTGGATGAAAAGAGTTGTCGACTGAGGCAAACGCTGGATGGACGGGTGCTTGAAAGGATGGATGGACAAAGTGTGTTTGACAGAAATGAGGATTGCAATACTTTGCTACACAGTTGGGTACCAGTGAGGAAATACGTTAAGCCCAAAGGACCCGGAAAATAACTCGTACCGCCCTGATGCGCTGAGTGTGACTGTTCAGTCCAACACAGCTCAAGTGACAACAGCAAAACTAAAGAACAAGAGGGAACATGAACTGCCAGGAAGACAGATGGAAGAGTACACAATAATGCACGAAGGCTTTCATCTCGTGTCTTTCTGGAAGATGCAGTTCGGTTCCAAAATGTATTTTATTGTTCTTCCATTTTAATGTCGGGCAGCCAAATTTTCACACTTGTTATGCGTGTTAAAATGTTGCATCAAACACGGATTATTTGTATTTCCATTTCCTAGGGGAAGAATTGTCACATGATTTTTTTTTTTTAATAGATTCAATTTAAGATATTCCCTGGCATGCTGGATGAAGGGCGGATTTATCGGCAGACAAACAAAGGCAATCATTGAGGGCACCTACAATTCCAGGGGCATCCAAAAACCTCATAAAATCTGATTAATAGATGTTAACTCATGTAAAACATTCGCTACTGTTTTAACCTGAATTCGCATGCTTAAAAATACATGATTATTATGAAATTATGATCATAACAAGTGCCCCACCGCCCCTCACACCACGACCCTTCTCATTCAATGAACTTGTCCATCTTCTCACTGCACATGTGCAGACTTAATGCAGGACCACAGCAGCAAAACAAAACAGGTTGTTTTGATTTTAAAAAATTGCAATATTTCACAGTGACACTAAATGTGCGTCAAGAGCAATAGTCAGACTCTCTTCTTTTAATTGAATTTTCACCCTTTTTAGTGGATGACAAACATAAATATTCAAAACCTTTAGATGACGAAGGCCCCATGACCGCGTTGGCCTTGGGCCCCCGGATGACTAAACACGCCCCCGGACAAAATGTGTTAGAGCAAGTCTTTTCTCATTTAAGCCATGTTTCAGTACTTATTTACTCATGTGTTTTTTTTTTTCATTGGTTAAATTAGGCCAAACATTAGCCAAAATGAGATTAACTTTGACCCAACAAGGACGAGCACAATGGTTGAATCTTACATTATATCATAACCTGTTGAACTGAGCAGACCTTGTCGACCTTGTTGCCACTTAACCACTTGTCTCTCCCCATTAATTTAGTTAGTCGAGCAATCGGGTTCATTATAAAAGCCCCTCTCAAGGTGCGACCACTTGTCACTCACTTTCTGTGTGTGCGTCGGCGCATGCGCGCAAGGGAGGCGGTGTCGTTGACGGCTCAGCTGCCTCGCCTGCTTTAACCAGCTAATAAATATGAAAACAGCAGGTTAAAGTTTTTATGTCTGAAAGGATTATAGTCTTCTATAGAGTCCCATGAAAAATCCCCTAAACCTCATAATGCTCAATGTTGTCCCATAAAAACCGTGTTGGACAAAAGAGGGAGACGGGGGGGCTTTTTCACGCATAAGAGGTTTTCTCAAAAGCACATTGAGTGGAGCCGGGCCCTCGACCCGCCCATAGATTATGCGGCTGTCAAATGAAAGCGCGGCTGGGAGCGGCAGGTGCGTGTGCCAGGCATGGGGGGGGTCCTGG